GAAGGGGTTAATATCCAAAGTTTATAAAGAACTTACAAGACTCAACACCAAAGAAATAAACCAATTAAAAAATGGGAAAAGGACTTAAACAGACACTTTTCCAAAGAGGACATACAGAGGGCCCATAGACATATGAAAAGAGACTCAACATCACTAATCATCAGAGAAATGAAAATTAAAACCACAATGAGATATCCCCTCACACCTGTCAGAATGGCCATCATCAATAAGTCAACAAGCAAAAAGTGCTGGTGAGAATGTGGAGAGAAGGGGAACTCTTTTCCACTATTGGTGGGAATGCAGACTGGTGCAGCCACTGTGGAAAGCAGTATAGAGATACATCAAAAAATTAAAAATGAATCTGCCTTTTAACCCAGTGATTCCACTTCTGAGAATATATCCAAAGGAACCCAAAACACTAATTCAAAAGAACATAAGCACCCCTATGTGTTATTTACAATCACCAAGATTTGGAAGCAGCCTAAATGTCCATCAGTAGATGAGTGGATAAAACAACTATGGGACATTTATACCATGGAATACTACTAGTCCATAAGAAAGAAGAACATTTTACTCTTTGTGACAGCATGGAGAACATTATGGTAAGTGAAATAAGACAGTGAGAGAAAGACAAATAACCATATGACTTCACTCATACGTGGAATCTAATGAACAAACAACTAACAAGGAAAATGGGGACAGGCTCATAGATGGAGAGCAGGTGACAGGTAGTAGTGAGGGAGGTGAGGGTGTGGAGGGATTGAGCAAAAAGGAAAAAGGACTCATGGACATGGCAACAGTGTGGTGATTGCTGGCGGCAGGGGATATAAGTGGGCTGAATAGTAATGGCAAAAAAACAATAAAGATTAAATTAAAAAAAAATTAAAAGGCCAAACAAATCTACCTCCTAGATATCCGATATCCCATGAGATTAAAGTGACACTTCTCAATATTTATTCAAATGGTTTGTTCCCAACTTCAACCAAGGAAACGTCATATTAATGTTAGTTGGAAAAAATGAAGGGCTGTTATCAGTGTTCTAGGTGGTCATTACAGACACAGAAAATTTTCATTAAAAAAAGAAGAGAAGAAAAGAAAACAAACCTGATAAAACATAAGTATAACATGCAGGGATGATTTTAACCCTCTGGGTGACTTTCTCACCACCATGGGAATTTTAAGAGACTTCATAAGAATTAAAATGCTGCACATGATTTATTTTAGCTTCTGGCCTTTCTTTCCAGAAGGCAAATCAGTGTGACTTCTTTCTGCATTTATTTCAATGTGGTAACAACCCTCAACTTTCAGACAGGTTTCACCTAGCTACCCTATTGGAAATGTAGAGGTTGCCACCTCTTTTTTATAAGCAGGGAGATAAAAGGAAGCAGTTTTTTGATAACTGCTAGTAAAAACCAAGTTGCCAGTTGATTGAGTACAAGAATAGCAGGTTCGATGGATTGAGCTATCTCAGCAGTTGAAGTACCAGAGGGCAGGCTATTGTAGAGCAAGACTGGCCAGCCCCCACCGCACGCCCAGCACGCACGCCCAGCACCCGGCAGCGTGGACCACTGCGATCACTGACTCACGGACGGCAGGAGCTCAGTACCTGTGAGTTCCGGCGCGCACTGCCCCTCCGGCCTCCCTCCAGACGGAACTGAGGACTCTGCTTACTCTCTCTCCCAATCTCTCCCTCTTTTCTCTCCATTCATCCATACCATTTTGAATTGATAGGACTTTGAAAAACACAACCACAATACATTAACATAACACAATCAATAATACTTATGTAATATCATCTAATATTCAGTCCATGTTCAATTTTCCCTAGTTATCTCAAAAATGTTTCATACCTGGTTTGATCAAGTCACAAATAATATCTATACACTTCATTTGATTAACACATTTAAGATTCTCTTTCTCCAGAATCACAGGACTATTTTGTCTTCATTGATTCTTTGAATTAATTTTTAAAAGTATTATATATTCATTAAGTACATAACGCTTGCAGGGCAGTAAAAAGAATTTTTTTTCCAAATAGTGCTAAAAGGTACATAATGAACTATTGCTCAGTTTCACCCCCCAGAAGCGAGATTACCAGCTTCACACATAACTTTCTAGAACTAGTCTCTGTCCACACAAGCATGTCTGTCCCCGAGGCCGATGTAGCCTGGTGATTAAGAGTGAGGTCGTGAATTAAAATCTCTACTCTGCCACTTACTAAGTATATTGTTCTTTAAAGAAGCTGTTTTACTAAGTATAAGTCTTGGGCATGTTATATTACCTCTGACCCACAGTTTTTTCCTCTGTGAAGTGGAAAGGTAGCAACTAATAATTGTACCTATCTATCTTATAGGGTTGCTGAGAGAATTAAATTTGATAAGTAAAGCACTTAAATAATTACTTGTTATTACATACATTTCCCTTTGGCTTGTCCCTAAATGATAGAATGATGCACATTTCTATTTATTTGTTTGTTTGTTTTTTATCTGACATCACATTTAGATGAGAATTCCGTACTCTTTCTTATAAGATTCATTTCATTATAATTATTGACTTACATTCCATTGTATGGATGCCATACTGATAGACATTATTTCTAATCTTTTGTTTCTACCAAAAAAAAAGCACTACAATGAATATGTGTACAATATTTTATTAGATTAATGTGCAAAATATCCATAAAATCAACTCCTGGAAATAAAATTGTTCAGCTTAAAAATATGTGCATTTCAATATTTTATACGTATTGCCCAAGAAAAATGCACAAGGGCCCCCATTTCTCAGTACCCCAGTTAACCAGAACATTTTCAAAAGTTTTGATCTTTGCAAATATGATTTGTGAAAAATGGTATCTCATGGATGTATAATGTACACTTATTTCTCTTACTGTGAAAAGATAAAAGAAAAATAGTGGGACTAAATCTCAGCAGTCAAATGACCTGCCCAGGACATCAGAGCAGGAGCCCTGAGTGAACCCCACCTGGGTACAAATGCCTTTGTCCACGCTCATGAAGTGGGCACCCCTGTCTGACAGCACTAAGCATACTTTATGCATGCATCACCTTTTATTCAGTTGCTCAGGTCAAAATTCTAGTTTTCCTTGATTCTGCTCTTTTAGCAAGTCCTGTCTTCTATCTCCAAAATATACCCCAAATCTGACGGCCTCTCACCACCTTGACTCCTGCTGCCTCAGGCCAGGCCCTGTCTCTGGCTGGTGTGTCTGGCTGTCCCTGAGGTCTCCCCCTTCCCCTTAGGCTCACTTCTCAGTAGCCAGAGTGGTATTTTCACATTATCAAGGAGATGGTGACACTCTCCAACTGAAAACCTTCCAGTGGCTCCCAAATAAATTTAGAATCAAAAGCAGACTCACTTCCATGGCCAATAGACCAGCATCTGGTGAGGACGGCCACCTGAGCTCAGCATAGCAGTCTCACTCCCACCTCCCCTCATTCACTGGGCTCACTGCTAAGTGCTGCCCCAGCTTTGCTCCTTGGCCCTGGAATGTTCCTCCCCAGATCTTTCCACAGCCACTTCCTTTCAGTATTCAGGTATCAGCTCAAGGGTTACTTTCCTGACCACACCCATCACTCCCAATCCCATCACCCTGCTTTATTTCTCCCCAGCATCATCGCCATCAGAAAGTTCTCATTGTTATCACTCACATAATATTCACCCAAAGCTCAGGGGCTTAACACAAAGGTTTATTAGTTCAGCTGGACAGTTCTCTAGTGTGGTTGCAGTTAAATGGCTGCTGAGGTTGGCATCCTCTGGAGACTTTGCTGGGCTGGATATCCAGCACTCTTTCCTCCCATGCCTGGTGCCCCTCCAGGTGGTCCCTCTCTCCTGCACAGTAGCCTGGCCTTCCTGAGTGGCAACTCAAGCTTCTAAGAGTAAAGATGTGGGAGCCGCTGGTCCTCTCGTAGGCTAGGCCTGTAACTGGCACAGGGTACTCTGCTGCCATATTCAGGTGGTCAGACAGTCATAGACTAGCCCAGGTTCAAAGAACTGAGCAACAAATTCTACCTCCTAAAGGTGAAATTACCTGTGTGTAAAAGAAAGGAATTTATGGTGGCCATCTTTGGCAGTAAGTTTTCACATTTGTTTGTTTACTTGTTAATTGTCTCTCTACTCTCACTACGTTATAAGCTCCACAGACAACAGGGAGTTCATCTATCTTGTTTGATGATTCTCTTTCCAGCATCTAGAAGGATACCTGGCACATAGTATGTGCTCAGTAAATAAATTAAACACTTGGTAAATGTTTCAGAAACTAAAATGGACTGAAATAAACTTCCCCAGACTGGTTTGGTTCGGTTTGCTCATGTTAAGCATGTCTAAAGCTCACCAGATAAGAGAACCCTACATTTATAAATCATTTTATTTCCTCTGCAAACAAGAAAAACTTACCCCGAACACAAAATCTAGGAATAGACTTGGCATGTTTTCCAAATGGAAAATATTTCTCGTGTCACCAGAAATTATTTTCCCACAGCTTGTGCTACATCAAAATATTGAAGTTGACTGCAAATATCCTATTTTTTAAAGTTGGTATGGGCTAGAAACAATTTTTGTAGCAAAGAAAATATAAAATCCTCCTGCTCTTTAAACACTCCCAAAGATCCTCAAACTGAAAATGTCATTATAGGTAAGATAGAATAAAAAAAAAAAGACTGAGAAATGTGATTAAAATTTTGGTCATCAAATTAATGTACAGTTTTTGTTTATAAAGCCAGCACTTATTTATTTAAGTAATTACATATCACCAAAGCAGGAAAAAAATTTCCTCAAATTTCTCCTTTGCAACATTTTACTGGTGAGTTCTGTAAAATAATTCCATGTTTAAATCTTGTTATAAATCCCTTGTAAATGGTAAGCAAGGAGGTACTCATCCGAAGGATTTTAGTGATTTTTAAAGTTAAAAATATAGGGATTTAATTTTTAAAATTCCTCTTGCAGACAGCAACGAATTAAATGTCTTCTAACCTTCGTTTCATCTTCAGTTTTCCCGGATCTGCTCAAAGCGATCCCTGTGAGCATCCACGTCAACGTCATCCTCTTCTCTCTGATCCTGGTCGTCCTGACGATGGTGGGCGCGGCCTTCTTCATGTACAATGCTTTCGGCAAGCCTTTCGAGACTCTGCATGGTCCACTAGGGTTGTACCTTCTGAGCTTCATTTCAGGTAACAAGGAAATTCTTCTCCTGAAGGCGCATGTGTTTTTCAACGTCAAATACAGGGGTACTCAAATAACATAGAGTTACGGTATACATACCAGTAGTATTATATATGATAGCAAAAACTAGAAAAAATATAGTTATCCAACAGTAGAGATTTCAATAAATCCGTTATAGTCGTCTGTATGAGTAAACGTGATGGCGACATTAAATTATATGTTTGACTAAGAGGTGATCAAAAGGATAAACGCTTGTATCAAAAGTTAAGTGAAAAAAGCAATATAAAAAATTTTATAAACATGGAACTAATTTAATTTGTATATGTAGAGAGAATATATCTAAATTATATTGTACATATGCTCTCTCTATATAGCTTCCATATATATTACATAAATACATATATACACAAAGATATATACAGACAATTCTGTTGGCAGTAGTTACCTCTGATTATCGGTGATTTTCATTCTTCCATACTTTTTAATATTTACAAATGTTCAATAATGTGCATTTATTTATACATAATCAGAAAAATAAATCAAAATCACCAACAAAAGCAAAGGATCAGTGTTCCGCCCACGTGTGAGTTGCCATATTCAGGCCTGCAGACACTTGGTGCAGCCCAGTGGTGGGTACAGCTGGACAAGGATACATTCTGAACCCAGAAACTAATTCATCGATAAATATGTACTACTCGTAAACCTGGACGATGAATAGAATATGAAAGCCAGTCAAGGCCACAGGGTGCTTAGGATATATTTACAAGAAGGAAAAACATTACAAAATAATCTATGTCTCTGATTTCATCCCACTCCAAAGTTGCAAAAAGACAATACTTTGTCACAGTCCCAGGAAGCAAGTAGCTTTATTAATAATTTCTTGGAGAGGTGTGAGAGAGATACCGCACGCCAGCAAAGAGTGTACTGAAAATCCCCGTTCCCCCGTTTCATTCTCCTCTAAAGTTGTCCTTCGACTGTCACCAGCCCCCAGGCCCCTTCTCTCTCTTCCTCACTCCCTCCCCTCTGCACGATTCAAGTCCCGCCACAGACTGCACAGCTCCCTCTCCATGGAACAAAGCCTGGTCATTAGCAGGCATTTGAGCCTCTGGCCCCCACTGCTTGCACTCACTTCTTCTGGTCTTATCTCATCATCGTCTTAATAATCAAATGATACACCCTATCAAAGTAGTTCTCTCTCTGGTGGGGGATCTACTACTATTTTTTCCAGATCTTTCACAAGCAAATAATACCATTTTCAAACTGTGCAGAAGTGATTAACCCTATGAGGGCAGAGTCTAAGTCCTTCTTATCTTTGTGTCTTCAGCAAAAGCACCCAGCATGAGACTCTGCATACAGTAAGCCATCAGTATGTATTGTGGACTTGAAAAAGCAAACCCGAAAGATGTTGACTTGGCCACTTAGTACAGGTTACAGAAGTCAGAAATCAAATGATTTGAAATCAGCAGAGCAGGCCCATAGAGGTGGTAGGACATGGGCCAGAGAGGGAGGGGCTGGAAGATCTTAAAGGGAAGATCCTCAAGGGAAGCCAAGGTCTTTGTGATCAGGGCAGGGGAACAGAGTGCAGGTACAGGGTATAAATGGACAGGCCTGGATAGTGATTCAATCTCATGGTCCAGGTCAGAAGAAGGTGTTGCCACTACTTCCCTCCACCCAACACACCAAACCGAGCTGGGTGGTGTGCCGTTTTAGTGAAGGCCATTGAATCAACCAAGTCAGGGCATATAGGGCTAGAGTGGTTCTTAAAGTGGGGTCCCCATACCAGCAGATCTGCACCCCTGTGAACTTCACAGAAAAGCAAATTCTCATGCCCAATCCCAGACCTAGTGAACCAGAAACTCTGAGGCCAGGGCCTGGCAGTCTGTGCTTTAAGAAGCTCTCCAGGTGATTCTGATGCGAGCTCAAATCTGAGAACCAGCGTAAGTGGGAATCGATTAGTGTTAGAGAACAAAAAAATGAAAAGGAGACCCTGAGGTAACTCAGAAACCATAGTTCAGAAAGCAGCTACCATCCCTATGGCCCAGAGAACCAAGGAGAGAGTCTGGAGTTAGCAGAACCCAGAAGCTCAAGGAAAGACCCAGGGCTCTGGGTCTCAGATCGCTGAAGGGAACGCACTGTCACAGGACTCCACGAGGTGGCTGTGCGAGTGTGGGGAGGTCTGGGGAACTCCCACCTGAGTGCCAGGAGCGGTGCTAGTGCTGCAGCGAAGAGGAAGGAGCAGACCCTCCTCTCCTGCCCCCACCCTTGCTCTCCATTAGCAGAACCTCATGGGGAGCAGCTGATGAGGCAGAACTGGAGTCTGGGGAGTCTTGACCCAGCATCGCAAAGCAGAGAAGAGAAGAGCTGGTCTGAAGCCAAGATACAACAGCTTATTAAATGGCAGAGCCATCTCATGCTAGCTTCTGAATAAAATTCAGAGCAACAGCCCATTTGGAAGACAAATTATTTGACAGTCTAACGGACAACGAAACTAACAGTATGTGAAAAGCAAGATGACTCAGAGAATGCAGAATTTAATCCAAGTCCCAGATCTTATCTTGGCCTTTGGCCAAATCTAATGCAAAGAAAATGTGAGCACAGAATATATGTAGGAACACACAGACCCTGTGCTTACGCTGTATCTTATCTTTGGACTCGTTGCAGAAGCAGGTGTTCAATAGAGTTTCGTGGATGAGGGAAGGAAGAGAGCAAGAGAAATGAAAAGAAGGAGCCAGTTCCAATCTGTGTCTTGCAGAGGATAGAGGCCTAGTGTTTCTAGATCATCTGGTTTTTTTGAAGCCTCAAATCCTTATTTTTAAATACCAAAATTTTCAGTAACTTTTTTTTGAAAAAAATTATTTTAATTGTTGTTCAACTATAGTTTTCTGTCTTTTACTCCCATTCCAGTCCACCCCCACAGGGCTCCCCACTTCCCTCCCACTTCCACCTCAATGACTTTAAAAAATATATTCGAGGGTCACATGGACTTACAATTTGTGACATTTGGGGATGAACAGTCACTTGAATCATGGACTCCCTCACTGCCCCTCAACCTATAGAAAGTACCCAGAAGGATGTGGAGGTTTGGGAAGGTCTATCTAAAGCTGTAATATTCATGGAGACCCCAGCTCTAAATCCTGATGTGGAAATCTGGAGGATTTTATAGCCCTTATCTCAAACCCTCCAAATGTGAGCCAATAAATTTCACACTCAGAGGCCAGAGCCTCTGTTAGGAGGTCCTTTAGTTCCAGTGGGAGCCATTTCATTAGACACCCCCAGGGGGCAGCTCTTTTCCTCCTTCTGCCCAGGCGGCCTCCCTCACAGTCACTAGAGAAAAATATCTTCTTCCTCTGTCTCCTTTCCCTTCTCCTACTTCTCCTGTGGTGATAGCCTTTCCCTGTGCTGATATCATTGCAAAGCCATTTCTCCAGCTGTCTCATCCTGAGGCATGAAGGCAGGGAGAAGGGAAAGGGAGAGAGGTCCTGCTGTCTAGCCAGGACCTTCCACACTGCCCAGAGTGACAATGCTATGTGCACCTCTGCACATTTCCTCATGTGGTGCATGCAAGACCCTGGACATAGAAAAGAGAGGGAGCAGCACTTTATATCAGGCCACCAATGGTTTCAGTCCCCACAGCTTGCTCACACTATCGCCCGCCTGGACCAGGAGTACCTTCCACTCCTCACGGCCTCCAGGTTGGCTCATTGCATTCCCCAGCTTTCTTCATGTAACATTTCTGACCTCTCTCACTGTTCCACGGAACCCATGCAAGTCAGTTCTGCTCTCTTATCCCATCAATTATAAACTGAGTCTGAGAAATCATTCCCCTACTTAGGATTTTAGTAACATCTTAGTGGTCCCCCACAGTTCATTTTGGACAATGATTCTGTTCCTGGACTGTACATTAGAGTCACCCGAAGAACTTTCAAAAATACTGATGCCAAGTCCCATGCCACACTACTTTAATTAGAGTCTTTGGAGGTGAAAGCTGGCCATTGTTATTTTTTAAGCTCTCTTAGTAATTCCAATGTGTGATGAGTGTTGGGAACCCCTGGTACAGGCGCATACATTTCATTTATTCCGCAAACTCCGAGGGAGTGCTAAGAGTCATTGTAATAGGTACTGTGATACCACAGTGAACCAAGCACACAGTCTTGCCTTTGTTGAGCCTACAATGCTGTGGGACAGTCAAACAAAAGTGTATGCAAATAATTAAAGATCACAATAATTACAATCAGTGTGACAAACAGGCTGCTATGAAGGGTACTCTAAATAGCTGAGTTCTAAAGGTACAGAGGAGCTGAGGACTATCAGAGAACTTCCCAGGGGGAGGAGAAGACATGGGGGACTCTGGGGAAAGAGGTTGCCTTGCTTAGGAGCTGAAAGTAGGCCTGTGTGGCCAGAGAGTAGGCAGAGATGGGAAACTGGAAAAGAAATTAGATTGGAGAGATCAGTTGATACCAGTTAAGGTTGGATCTCTAAAACCATGGTAAGTCTTTTAGTATTGCTTCTAACTGCAATGAGAAGCTTGTGAAAGACTTTAAGAAGATGTCACATAACTGATTTACCTTCTAAGAAACATCTGGGGAAAGACTAGGCTGTTGCATTGAAGATGGAGAGGAATAAATAGATCCTAAAAACATTTTGAAAGTAGATCCAAGGCATCTTGCAGGTAGCTTCAGCAATTAGTAGACAGTGGTGACATTAACCAGGATAAAAAAAAGATGGGACAGGAACAGGCTGAGAGTTCAGGGCACTAAAGAAGTGGGGAGAGGAGCTCAGCGCTAGGAACCAGGTGTTGTATTGGGAGCACGCCAAGTTTGAGATGCTGTGAGGTGCGCAAGCAGACATGTCAAGTAGACAGCCAAATATATGAGTCTGGAGCTCAGAGAAGAGGTCCAGATTAAAAATGTAATTTTGGGAATTGTCAGGATATAGATATTACTTAAAGCAGTGACAATGGATGAGATCATCTAGGGAGAGAATGTAGTCAGAAGAAACTTGGCCTAGC